ATATATATAGATATATATATATAGATATATATATATATAGATAGAGAGAGAGAGAGAGAGAGAGAGAGAAAGAGAGAGAGGGTTGGAGACGGGGGGGGCCGGAGGATCCAGAAGCCCCTCATTTCTCTCCATCCATCGCCAGGTGGAGGCAGAGATCTCCACAAGTTTAACTTGTGGTCCGAGTATAACTTGTGGTCCGAGTATGGAGGGTGATTAGTGCCGTCGTAGAGCAGGTGGAGAGTTGTTTTTTTTTTTTTTTTGTTTTGTTTTTTAAATGGAGCATGCTTTTGGATGTTAATTCGTTGATGGCAGTTCCAGCCCCATCTCCTCAAAATGATTTTCCTATACAACTAAATTGCACTGTCAATTACGCTTCGAGGGAAATGTATTTTGTTGTGGAATATGTTTACTTTTAATATATCACAAATAAGTTTTAAATGACATTGTGTAGGAAGGAGGTCACAGTGGTGTATGGGACAAAAAACACAAGCCGGGCGGGGAAAAGCGAAGCTGATGTGGAAGTGTCTTAAACCTCCATTCGCTATGCTGTCCACCAGGGGGCGACTCCTCTGGTATAGAAGTCTATGAGAAAATGACTACTTCTCTCTTGATTTATTACCTCAGTAAACATTGTAAACATGAGTTTATGGTCTCAATCTCTAGTTTCAAGTCTTCTATAATACAGCATGATGTTCATTTAGTAAATTATGGTCCATTTAGAGTCAAATAGACCATAAAGCAGAGTATGCTTTAGGACAGCCTTGGTATTTTACATAAACGTCACATTGTTAGAAAATCTTAAAGTATGTACCATTTGGTTTTAGACGTTTTTTCGTATACTCTCATGTTATCATTGTGATTTTAGTCATGTCAGTTGTATTTAGCCTATATAGCCAAACATTAGCATCAAAGGGCTCTATAGGGAAAACACATTGCAACCGACTCATATCCTTACACCTGATCAATTTGGATAAACTAGGATCAAGATAAAAAGTAATCAAAGGTTTCATCATTTCATGTAGTTTTTAAATCACACTAATTGTTCAGCATATTTTGGCTTCATTTTCGTCCAGTGGAAAGAAGTGGAGACACTTTGTCCACCTTTATATGTAGTGTATCATTTCAACTCTCCACTCATTTTGCCTTTGTTTCACAATAAGAGTGCACTGTCATTTAAGATAACTTCATCCAGGATTAACAAATCAATCCTTAAACTGCTTTCAAAGTACCAAATTACGGGGTTGGAAAAAAACTTCTTTTAGCACGATAGGAGCATGTAAGCCTGAGCTAGTTAAGCCACATTTGAAGAACAGGACCCAGCTAACAAAACAAACCTCCACGGGGAAGAACCTTTGCTTTCCAAACCACTTTCCTTTACCCTTTCTATCGCATCCTCCCACGGTACGGTCAGCTCCGCAAGATACACAACACACTGTTTCTGACGTTATGAGTTTGTGAATAACCCGGTTATCCGATCACAATGCCGTCATCGAGGAATGTGAAGATGCAGAAAAGTAGAAACTGTGCAAAGAGAAGAGGTCAAATAGAAAAGAGGGAAAGGCACAATGACTGAGAGGCAGCAAGAGGAGAAGCATGAAGATGAGAAACCCTGAGCGGACGAAGTGGAAGCCTCGGCATTAATCACCCCTCCTACATTTTCAAGGCCATGACGTCTGAACAGTTTATCCACATTCCATAAGAATAATTTAGGCCCGTCAACAGTCGATTAGTAGGATGAATATTTCATAAATCAATAATTCATAAACATTTTAGCGTTCACACCTCTGAGGCAGTGGGAAGATGCAGCTGATTAAATAACCACGAGCTGACTGGGTTCAGGCCAGGTTCCAGCAAGCATCGGGCCTGATGACGTTGTGTGGGATGACCTTTGACCTCAAACTTTTAAAGGGCGAAGACAGAATTTTACCAACGAAAGCAAATTTCCTGTCCTATTAAGTTGGGACAATTCATTTCGCTCAACAGTTGAATTTGAACATCTAGTTATATAACTGCATTATGCAATCACGCTATATATTATATTATTGAATTCTCATTTGTCAAACCGTACTTTGAGGTCTTATCCATGTTGAGACCACTTAGAGTCAGCATAGCTGCTGAGGGTAGTACATCATGCGGTGTAAATAGTTAATACATCTCCATGAATAACAAATATATCAGAAGCTACATAGATGATCTGCGAAAGCAAATTCATTGAGCAAGGAACCAATAAGCAAGTCACAAAAATGTTTTTTTGTTTATTCACAATTGCCACCGGCTGCTCAGTTCACTTTTCATTTGTAGCGTGCCAACAATTAAGAGCAATTAATAACAAAAGAACTAAAAAGGTAGAATTACTTAAAAATGCCTCAACTGTACAAAGAAGAAACCTCTTCACACCGAGGAGATCAGGACGAGTGCAATGCAGCATTTTAAAAAGAGATTCTGAAATAAAAATGAAAGGATGTCATGCAAAACCGGTGAGTGAAAAAGTGACATGTATTTAACTCCGGAGGAGATCTTTTTTCTAATAATGCCTGTTTTCAGGACTGTGAAAATGACAATGTTTTTGCAAGTGTCCTGTGACTGGCTGCTTAACAGCAAGACATGATGCCAACATAAAAGCAAACGATATGAAACCTCGAGTGAATTAGAACTCCTTTTCAGGACCGATATGTTCAGAAGAAAGTTTCAAACTGGACAGGGAGATGAGGCCATGCCTGAAAGTCAGGCAGATTGTTCTACTGTCAGTTGGTGGAGGAATACAAAATGAAAACACTTCGACTGATACATACGGCCATGTGAACCAAATGCTCACAAATTCCTTCATGCATCAAGAATAAAGGGATGAAACTCCTGTAGCTTAAAAACAACTCAGCAAATGTGTTTTTGTGGTACACAGAAAGCAGAATTTGGTTCAGAATGTAGCAGAACAAGTTATAAGAACCCTTGAATATTTTGGGAAATATGTTTATTCTAATTCTTTCTAAATCAATTCCACCTCCATGTCTGAGCATTAAGAACAGAGCCGGAGTCAGGAAGTGGTTAGCCTAGCTTAGCATAAATACTCTAAACAGATACACCTAACAGCTGCCGCCTGATGAGAAACGTATCTAATTAGTTTAACCCACTTGGCTTCAGAAAGCGACATACCACATGGTGAAAAGCTTCTGAGGTGTTGGTATGCACATTATTTACCTTGAAACAAAGCTAAGCCAGCCGTGTAACGCCCCTGTCTCTATGCAAATGTAGGTAGATAGGTTCTGGCTCTAGCTCTGTATTCAACACTCGTCATGTTTCCATTTCATTTTGGAGCAAAATTTAAGCAAACCTTTGAATTGCTGCAAAAAAGTAAAAGCTAATTAGGCACAGTTTCCATCAACTGGTTTGGAGCCAATGAACTCGGCTACAGAGTAGTTTGGTTAGAAGCTGGAACTATCAGCCAGCTTTGTGCATGGATGTAATCCACCAGTAACCGCAGTAGAAGTAGTAACGGTTGTGAACTAGAAACAAAACAAGTCACCTTGGCCATCGAACGCTCTACAATTAAGAAAAAATGGGAGAGAGGTCTTTATAGAGGAGAATTAGTTTCAATTGTGCAAGTTTGAATTATTCTTTGAGTATGGGAACATCTGAGAAGACAACAGCAGAAACAGCTTATCACTCATGTGAGTTAAATATCCACTATGTCAGAATGTATTTGACAAAGGCGTTTCCATATCCAATTGAGCGCATCAACTTTCATTCGACGAAGGCAAAAAACATCTCAAATGACCTCAACAATTTCTTTACTTTCCACGATTAATTAAGGAAGTTTTATCAAATTTTGCTGTTTTGATTCTGCTTTTCCAATGCGATACTTCAAAATCCAAATTAAAATATGCAAATGGGACCACGGCTTCAAAGACACGATATTGGTGTCAATCTTCTCAATGAATAAATGTATTTCCTAAAAATTCCTACTAGAATTATTCCTTAAAATCAATAAAATCCTCTTCTATCAGTCTTTTTTTATAGGCAAAAATAAAAGTCATTAACCTTATCAGAGATGTCCATAAGACTCGACAGCTTTACGTTACTATACAACAAAAAAGGGATACAGGGGAATCCCCCGAAAGCTGTATCGCAAAGCTAACGCTGCTAATGCTCTACAGTCAAAACTTTCATTAAGAATCAGCCGCAAACACCCCAAGCTCTTAGAACCATTTAAGAAAAATAACTACACCTGACACTGGACCAGAAGAAGTAGAGATCTGACCCAGTGGTACTGAAGATAAAAAAAAGGCACAACAAAGGTCCTGAGGTACAGCAGCCGTCAAAACTGTTTTGGCAACACCGACAAGCTAGTTTCAAATTAAATCTCTCAACAGTATTCTCTTAAGAAAATGACTTAAAAAGTGTGAATTTACGCAAAAGCAGCTCAGGTAGAAATGTCACGTTTTTTAACAAATTGCGTGATAACAGCTGGGCAGAAATCACAGGAATCACGTGGACCTCGCTTCACTGGAGTCCGACGGTTCACAGATCTGCTACCACGATGCTCAGTGCCTCTTGTGCTACCATGTCAGTGCTACTGAAGAAGAAGAAGAAATGACTGGATATGGACTCAAGTAGAGGATATGGAGACATTAGACTGGCAATGGCGCAAACGATCGCTTGGGTACGTTCGTCGCTTCATTTCCGGGGTTAGGCCATTCAGGAACAGTCCCTGTAAATGGAAGTGATCTAGTTAAATGATGGGATCAGATCTTTTTACAGACCATCTTCCTCACATGTCAGATGTAATCATCCCTTCTGTGCATACTGGCTTTTCTCCCAGCCTTCAACCACTCTTACTGACCATGCTGACCATTCTGAACAACCAGAAACACTTTTGCCTTCAGACGTGTCCGGACGACCCTTCACACAAACTACTTTGCGTACTTCAGTTGAAGCGAACTGAGGCTTCAAGGATTCGGTGCGCTTCAAACTAAATGCTTGACGGATCGCCAACCGCATCCTCCCACAGCGTTAGTGATTTGGAATCGGAGTGCTGCGTCTGGCAATTTCGAAACTTTCTTGAAACCGTCAATGAGGCCACTTCACAAAGTGACTGACCGGGGTTGCCAACACACCATGCTAGTCTCCAACAAGAACCACCCTTACCCCTATCTGAACGTTTCCTCTCACCTTCTCTCTGACAGACAGGCTTCAAGTGTGGCATTTCCAAACTGGTAAAAACACTTTTGCCGTTAGACGACATGTGGTATGGACCAGTTTGTTACCTGAACGGTGAACCCTTAACCCCAAGAGGATCTTGCCATCCCTAATCAAAATATGACACAAGACCGGGACAAAACATTGGCACTAACTCAAACTGCTGAAGCCTCGTATTACAGAAAGAAAAAGGACTATCGGTTGAGTCCCCTAACGCATTAAGGGATCCCTTCACTGCCAGTGCGGAAAGAAGGAACTATTACTGCAGCCAATGATTCTTTTAGTGTACACATGGCATGTGAGTATTGCATTAAGACAGACTTTAAAAACCCATCCTTATCCTTTGAGTCTCAACCCCAAAGCTGTGAGCTCTGAAACTAATGCCCTTATTTCTTATTCTAAATGTCATCTACAAATTACAAACCAAATGGTGCCATTTCAGTCCGAACACAATAAGTGCTGTATTTATCTAATCTTTAAAATCCGCAGTACACAAAACAACAATTTCAATCAGTAATGAATTTAGCAGCACAAAACATGATCAGGAGAAACACATCACGGCCTGTACATGGGACGGTCTCTGCAGGGACACTTAGGAGCAGACGGGAAAGGTTCGTATTGGGCCTGGAACAGGCACAGACCCCATGCTCTCAGCCATTTACATTTCAGCAGCTAGAACGCATTCTTAACATCCCTTTTTGATACTGTGGCTGAAAAAACATTTCTCTCCCTGAATGTGACTGATGAACATGGAGATTAAAAGTCCAGAGAAAAGTTGGAGCATGAAAATGGTCTGAAAAACAAAAATCAAAGGAAATTCCAAAAAAAAAGAAAATAAATGAATGCTTCACCCCTGAACTGAACAGAGATGTTTGGCACTTTATTGTACTGAGTCCAGGCATGTTGTGTCGACTTTGGATGGATGGAAGCGGAAGGAGGGTCTGAAGTCACATTGGGAGGGTTCAGACGATGGCGTTTGTGCCCCGGAGGCCGACCCCGCGGGCAAACTGCTCCAGCAGGCCGGAGATGGCGCCGGAGGGGCTGGGCGCAGAGGACGTGAGGCCGACGGTGGAGCTGTAGGCTGCCAGGAAGACTTCCCGCACCGCCTCCAGGCGGGCCTGACGCTCTGAGGGGAATTGACACCTGGAGAGGGGAGAGGGAGGAGGGAGTGAGATGAGACAGGAAGAAAAAGGTTAGGGGGAGAAATCCCATTTTAAAAGTGCTCGTAAAGGAGAAGAGAAGAAGAACAGAATGATGCAGATAGAAGCAGTTTAGATCAACCCCATAAGGCACTTCTGTAATAACCACAGAGCTCGTCGTCATCATCTGTCTGCTTCTCTCCGAATAAAGATTCTTAGCAGTTATTAGCCTTCTCCCATTGCAAGTGGTGCTGTCGGGACATTTTGGCAGTCAGATCAAGCAGAAATGAAAGTGTTTTCCCCTGATGGGAGTAGAGAGTGGGAGGATGAGTCAGGGGGAGAACCTGGTGGAAATGGCTCGGTTCAGTGGGGGGACAGAGAGCAGTGACAAAGGTTCAGACAGGAAACCATCTCTGCAGAACGATATTCATGTTTTACATGGACACATACACTAACATTTGTTTTTTAAAGAACGCTCTAGCGTCAGTTGTTGCACATGTCAATTTCCCCTCGCTACATGCATACCCGGCCTTTTCAAAATAAACTTCTGTGTTCACAGGCAAGTACAGAGCCCGGGAAGAGACATGGAGGGACTAAAAAATATAAGGTTGATAAAAAGTAAAATAAAAAAAGATGTACTTTTACGAGACTTTACTCTATTCCTCTCCATGTCCACTCCTGTGCTCAGAAGGAAAAACGTTGGTTAGCTTAAGGATAAGATCGTGGTTTGGGTTCAAATAAGTACGTTAAGTATGTTACATACATAACATTACGAATCCTTGTCAACTTACGTACCTTACTTTTACAATGTCTGACCAAAATGTCATCACTTATTGTATACTATTGGACATTTTTGTGGAATTGTCATAATTAGCATATGCATTCTTGAGTTATGGCCAAAAACGTGTTTTGTGAGGTCACAGTGACATCATTCATCCTTGAGTCCAGGTGGATGTTTGTCGCTAAATTTAAAGAAATTCCCTCGAGGTGTTCCTGAGATATTACATTCACGAGAATGGACCGGACGGACAACCCGGTAACATAATGCCTCCAACCACGGCTATCGCCAGCGTGGAGGCATAAGGACAACTGTAAACTACATTGGAAATGTAGCTGCTGAAGCACAGACTTAAACTCTCCACTACAGAAGCACTTTCATATTGGGACTGTAACAGAGCTGGATCCAGTGGACACCCAGGGTTAGGGTCTACTCAAGTCTGTGAGGCTGTACTTAAGCACAGGGAGCTTTCAGCTAAATAATAACGTCAGCATGCTCACATTGAACATGCTCCACACAAATGAGTTCCAGGTTAGGGTTCAAATATGGTTCAAAATGAAAGTAATGATTAACTTCTCTTCTATAGCACTCTAAAGCAGTTGACAAAGTGGTAACAGTACATACATACATATGTATGCTGGCTGATGCTGATGTGACAGAGCAGGGCGAGCTTCTTTTCCTCAGGAAGAACAACAGAGAAAGATGCATAGGCTTTCCTCCGAAAACTGATTGGATGAGGTTGGAAATCACTGTCAAACCCAAACCTCACCTTAAAAGTTACAACAGGAGGGGTGGTGCGGTGTTACTTACATTCGGCCACTGGGTCCTTCATCCTGAAAACTGAAGGGCAGGGGGGAGTCGTAGGCAGCAGCCACAGCAGAAGAGGTGGAGGAGGCCGAGGCCAGGGGTGGAGGGAAGTGGGCGTGGTCGTGGATGCTGCCACAACCCGAAACTATCTGCCAGCTCCCATAATCCGTAGAGAGGGAGGAACCGGACCGGGCGTAGTCTGCTGTTAACCTGAGAGAGATGGGGGGACAGAGAGAGGGCGGAGCCGTCAGAGAAGTAAAGACAGAAGACAAAGCACGACAGACAACCTGAATTAAAGACAAGTAGAGTCTTATGCCGTGTTCACACCAAACGAGCCGCGAATAGTTTGCGTCATTCGCGCCGCCGGTCTCGCCGTGGACTATTTGTGTTCATTCGCGTGAATCGCACTTGATGCGCCGGAGAGGGGGCGTGGCTTATCGACCTGGAAGCCGTTCAACTGTCCGCCATCAACCGTGGAAAAAATAACCTCTAGTTCTGCTTAGTACGTGTTGTGGAAATCCCAGATATCCCGGGAAACTAAACGCCGTCAAGTCTGGGTTCATAACATTGTCCAGAGGGGCTCTGTGGATTTTATCGAGCTGTATTCACTATGTCTAGCCAGCCACACGTCGCTGTTTACAGCTGTATGAACACAAAATAAACAGATTTGGCTGTGATTTAACGGCAATAAACCGACAAAAAGGGACTCCGAAATAACTACGTAATGATGCCGATTTGTAAAAAGTCTGAATTCATGTTTAGTGAGTTCTCTCCGCAAGACGACAAGCAAATAACTTTTTAAATACTTGTCTTCTCAATGGAGCTCGGCTCGATCGGTGCTAGGCTAAGCTAACATTGTAGCAGCTCCAACAACACTCAAAATAACGTCATCTAGACGTAAATACGGCAGCGTCTATTCATTGTTTGTACCATATGGTTTACACACACATTTATACATATAGTTTGGTCCGGTCTCTACTAATATGAGGTACCGTAGAGCTCTGGGTGAACACAGATGGCTACAGTATTTGTTTCCTGATTCAACAACGACAGGACGTCAGTGATGACAGGAGGAGCATCTCAATGCTGATAGGCCATCGCGCTGCAGCGTCAGGGCATTTTTTCGCCGAAGTTGAAAAATTTCAACTCACACGTTTGGGGCGTTCTGGCGATTGACGCCACTCCAGTCTCATCGCGTCTGTGCATAGACTTTGTATGTAATCTACTCGCGCGAATAATTCGCGCCGCGTTTGGTGTGAACGCACCTTTAGGGAGGTCCGATCGATCGGCAAGCATTCCTTATTGGACGATTTTCGTTCAAAATAGTTTGATCGATGGTCTCTATGAAGGCTGATCAGAGGACACATCTTAAGTGCAACCCCTACACACTGAAGGGTATGCTTTCTTCTTATTTCAGTCATTTCTGGGATAACTGGGATACTGTATATACATAAAATGGGAGAACACCACAGGAAGAGACTGTCATGCATGAGCTGCAGTTTCAGGCCGCAGGCTCTGCTGGTGGCTCCAGAGCTGAAGCTCTGTGCCTCCGGTGATCATCCAAGATCTACATCACCGAAGTTAAGCGCGTGTGTAAAAATAAGGTGGCACGAAAGCTCGGGCTGGCTCATGGGAGTTTCATCAATTCGCTCACCTTCTTCCGGGGACGGCCAACGGGCTGCTGCCGGTGCGCGTGATGCCGTGTTCCGACTGGTTGGAGGAGGAGGAGCTGGAAGACCTGGCCTCGCTGAGTGGGTGGGAGAGGTGCTCGTCCAGAGGGTTCTGTTTGTTCCAGACTACCATCTGAGGAGAGGAGGTGGGGCCTTTCCTCCTGAAGGGGGAGAGAACATGTGAGCTTCCACAGAGCAGCAGGACCACATGCAGCTTGTGATGCAAATTGGCCTCACAGTTAGGATTAGGTCAGAGAAATAGCTTTGTTCTGGTTGAAGTCTATTTGGATTATATAATATTAACTGAAATATTTGACAGTATTACATTTGAGTTCTCTTCAATTAATTCAATGTAACAACCCCCCCCCCCCTTTTATTTTCAGCATTTTTTTTTAAATTTCTTTTTTATTATACCAATAGTATTTTGATTTATATTTATTAAGTGCCAATGTAGTGTAATGAAGTGGTAATTATTTTATGGTTGTGCGTTTATCTTATTTTGGAGGATTGAGTACTGTTGTTCGTGTACATATATGTGAAAAGCATCACAAATATTTGAATATATTTCATCTGGCAATTTTTTTTTTAAAGTCCAGTAGTGCTCATCCTGGCTGATTTTGTGAAGTAAACATATCTACTGTTAATCTCACAATCCTCGAGACTGAGCCTTTAAAAATATGAATAATAATGATAATGATAATAGTAATAATGCCCACTAATGTGTCCCCTAAACCAAATCCTGTGGATCATCCCTGTTAGGCATCATGGCTGTGTGAGCTTGTATACTTCAGACTGGTTAATGAGCGGTTTGTTATTTGTGGATGTCCTAACCTATGTCAGCGTCATAGAATGTTACTGTGATAACCGTCCCAAGTTGTAAGATACCGTCTAATAGAAAATGACAATAAACATAATAAATGACTGCAGTGTTTTCTCTCAAACTGGACTTCCTGGATCGTGTTTCATCGTCTCGCTGTTACCTGAAGCAACACGCCAGCTTTTAACTGACAAAACTGAACGACTGACGAAATATGAATGACTAACCTATATCAAAAGGTGCATCTATCAACTTTCCCAAACATACGATTAAAAAGATATAAAAGAATTCTGTGAGCCTGTGTGTGTGCGACGCTGACCAGCTGGAGGCCTGGGGTTGGCTGGAGAACAGGTCCACGGTGTCGTTGGTGAGGCTGGAGGCGCCGCCCACCTCCTCAGTGATGAGGGAGAAGTCACTGCTCAGGCTGGTCACGCTGCCGCGATCCCTCGACTCTGAAAGCAAACACGCAGCGGGGCGGTTAGCTCAGCTCCCGACTCCATACACCTCATTTAGACATTAAAAATCCCAGACATTCTGTAACAATGCTGATAACTTCTCAACATTGTCGGATTCTGGATTTAGCTGTGAGGATATCACGAAACTTAGATTTGTTAGCATCACGACTGTGACTGCTCATAGGAAAACTCCTACACTAAAAGTCACCCCTGCAATGCCTTGGGATCATATTATCAAGACATTTCTCTCACACCGGACTTCATGATTTTGGCTCTCTATTTGACAAAACATGAATGATGGCTGCATTCAACTTAGAGGAGGACCTGGTACTGTGCAGAGCCATTATTTCTGTTATTAATTGCACCTATGCTTTTCCTGTTATGGCATGTCAAAATGTCACAGAAACACAGGAGCCCCTGTGCTGTGTTAGGAGCCTCTTAGAGACATATTCTGAACTCTGTCTTCAGCAGCTTTTCTCTTCCATTCTTCCTCCAGTTGTGCCAGAAGTGTTTATAAATGAAAATGTAAAATAGAAATTACAAGCCATTTATATCTGTGAAGTTGATAAACTATGACATAAGGCAGCATGCTCATGTGAATGCAAGACTCTACTGAAGGTTACGAGCCTGCAGAGATAAAGGTTTGTGACGCAAGATGTTCTGGAATCAAGCCCTGCAGATTTCTGAAGAGATGAAAGCTCCGTGTTATCACCCAGAGTTTCTCTGCTTCGTCTCTCAGCGCTCAGAACCTTTGTTATTCCTCATTGCATCAGCCCAGAGGCCAGTGACAGGAGCTCCCACTGCTTCCACAAGTACATCACCCAAACATTTGTTATTTTAAGTTAGCACGTTTCCTGCATTTCAATTAATCAATGTATGGAACAGTCACTGTTATAACACCACCTGACTCCAGTACCCAGCACCATGAAGCATCCCACCGGTTAGTAGCTTTAACAAGAAGGTGAACTGTAGCTTTCACCAATCAAATATATCTGAGTGCTGCAGGGTTGAGTCCTAAAACATGACAATGAGTCAGCATTTCTTGCCCTTCTGGTTCCTTCGTCTTGAAGTGAACAGGTTCTTCTTTTGGAAATGACGTAAAAACGCATAAATGCCAAAAGCTGCAGTTCCTCAAATGACCACTTGAGGCTTGCTTCAAATTGACTCGATCCCATAGAGTGGATATAAGAGGTGGACGTAGTTTTCATGATGTCACCCATTGGTTTGTGAACCACGTTTATGAAGCCTCGAGTTCGGCGTTTTGGCTGTCGCCATCTTGGCTTTTTTGCAACCAGTGAGGGTAAGTGACCGTATTTTGGACTGCAGGCGAGTGACGACCATACGCACACTCATGTTCGCAAAGTTTACTGAGGTAATAAATAAGAGAGAAGTAGTCATTCTCTATTAGACTTCTATACAATCAGACTTCTTTTTGCCACGACAGGAGTTGCCTCCTTCTGGTCAGTAGAGAGAATACAGGTTTAAGACACTGCGCATCGGCTTCACTTCATTTCAGATCCTGAGATTGCTGCCTGCTCAATCCCAACAGACCTCCATGTTAAAAATTTACAGCAGAAATAAACATGTTTACAGCCGGGTTGAAAAGAACGTTTTGGTCTGTGTAGGTAATTTCCCTGTTCATAACAACTGTAAGGGGGGTGAATTTTGATATAAATTATATCAAGGCTTAAAGTTAGGCATAATAAAGGGCGTGGCATCTTTGAGTGACAGGTGGGTTTTGTCTCAAGTTGCTAGCTGCCTCCTCTGCTCCACCGAGGTCATGTGACCGTGGTGTAGTTTGTTTATAACCTGACTTTAGCTTTTTACAACTGGCACCTGTATTTTCACTTCAATAATCACAACGGTGATGTTCATTTGTGAAGATTATATTGCTGAACATAAATAACGTGTCAGTGTCATAAACGTTTGTTTGCTGCAGTTTATTTTCTGCAATAATCCAAAATCCAATTAAGACCCCATTGTCTTTTTCTGGAGGGAACCAGTGTGATGCTAACTTCCCTGCAGCACTCTATAATGATGAAATATACTAAATGAATGTGTCTCCTGTATGTAGGCCTGTGTGGAGGGATGGAGGACTTACTTAACTGGCAGAGATCTTCCACAGTCAAATCACCGTCTTTGATGTGGGAGTTCTTCCTCCTGAGAGGAAAAGTAATGATGATGAAATAACAATCGAAGATCAAAAGAAGAGGAAGAATGCAGGATTTGCCGAAGGAAGCTGGATATTGACTGAGTTAGTTATTTACTGTACGAGTGTTACTATAAACCTTTAGCAACAGACTAGTCTGTAGCTTTATGATGAAGACATTCTTAAATACATCATCATAACAGAAATGCATAGAGCATAATGACACGAAAGAACATAAACGGAGGAACACACCTCTGTTTCTTAACAGCTGAGAACTTCTCTGAGACGATGTGCTTCAAAAAATTGAAGCAAAAAAAGAAAATCTGAGGGAGACAGAACAGTTTGATCAGAGAGGAAACAACACTCATGGTCCTTTCACATGGAGCAGTAGTCATACGTACTACAGCTGGCTGTGACCAGCAGGTACAACACCGTGAGAGGAATGTGATAAAGAAGCCCTCTCTTTTAGAGTCTCTAGACTGACGACTAAATATGATGCTGATGTTGATGTTTTAGACCACGGACACCTTTTCTCCAACCATGTGTATGACTGATAGTAGATTCATGAGAACAATACCATATCTCTTTTTCATATTCAACCTTTGTTTAACCAGACAAGTCATGCATTGATTTGAATTACTTTTTATAAGATAATTTCATAGAGCATTTGTGACCATGACATGTATATGAGCAGGACATTTTACTTTCAGAGAATAAAATTGGAATCACTGTTCTTTCTCTTGTGGTTCTGTGATGTCTTTCGTCTTGGAATAAAATTAAAAATGTAAAATAATTGTGTCTGTGGTGTGATGAGGTTGATGCGATCTTGCAAAAGCGAAGCAATTTGGTTCCTAGACATAAAACATACATTTTTCGAGTGTTTTTCTCGTAAATTTGCGACTCAAACAGAAGCTGTGTCATCATAGCCGTAGAAAGAATAAAACTTACCTCCTCCCCTTTGGAGAGTCGATCTGGCAGCATGTGACTAGAAATAGAAAAAAGAACAATGCACCGCATCACATGCCAGCTGCCACTTGTTTATGCAAAAAAAAAAAACTACTCAACAGAATCCCATGCGCTCCATGTTAGAAAGTCTTTCAACGTGAATTAATCAATCGTGAATTCATCTTTTTTGATGCAAGTAGTTTTAGAGAAGTGGGATCCAAGGATGATTAAATAGCTGGCTAGATAGCACGAGGGCTGAGAGAGAAAAGGCTTTTTGGAATTAGGGCGAACTGGCCCTTTAATTCAGCCGATCAAAGCATGAGTCGAGGACTTCTCTGGGGATCGTGGTGGGCATCATGAAACCATTCGTTGTGCTGACAGCCATGAAAGAGTACAGAAATCAAAAGATTACTCCACAGCTGGAGTAAGCTAGAGTCCAGATGTGATTCAGTTGTGATGGCAGCAGCTACAGCACCTCTGGCCACTCCCTCTGGCTCTCTGCTTCATCCGACTCCTTCCTCACTCCAGGGCTCAACAACAAGGAATGCCCTGGGCAAGTCAAATGCCACCTCGGGTTGGTGAATCTCACCTGCCTGAATTAAGCACATTGGTTTTTTTTCCTGGGATGATGATGGAAGTAGCGAAGCAGTGAGCCTTCTAATAGATTGGATTGTTCAATTTGTGTCGTTTTTATTGAGTCATCTCGCTTCCTTCTCATCTTTGTTGAGAGTTGCACATGTGCAGTACCGATCGGGCACACGGGGAGAAAATGGCAGCGGGTAAAGACGATGTTTACGAGCTGAAGCAGAAGCAAGCATTTTAGTTATCCTGGAAAAAGGGGTTTAGTTCGATAGAGGATGTGGCCAGAACTCCAATTATGTATCGTGCAGTTCAAAAGCAAGTTCCAGAGCAAAGCGGAAAAACATGACGGTTAACTTTAGTCTTTCGTCTTCATAACCACTAATAAATAAAACAATCTGTACAGCGGCAAGTAAAAACCGACTTTGGGCAAGAAAAAAAAAATATATATACATTAACGTTGAACCCAGCACACACAACCACCCTTCTTCTTCTGCTGCTTGGCCAATGTCCCGAGGGCTTGGGCAAGTCTGCTGATGTATAATTACATGGGCTAGCTTTCCATGAGATGAGAAATCCTGCTGGTAATTATGAAAAGGAGAACCCCAAGAGAGAGAGAGAGAGAGAGACAGTGAGTGTGTGTGAGAGGAGAGTGGGAGGATACAAGATGTGGTCAAGAGCAAAGCCAGAGTCGTACTGCTCGTCTCATGTTGTCCCGGCCTTCCTCTCCCCTCTGCTTCATCAGCCGGTCACTTCTCAATTATGCGTCGCAGATAAACAGTGCGTCTCAAACCAGAGAGAAGCTGCGAGTGCACCTCTGAAGTATGTGATAGAAGATGTCATTGTGCGGTATAATGTTCTACTGTGACTTGATTATATGCTTTATTCACTACTGTACTGCATGTCGGCCACAGCTTCCTTCAAAGGAAGAATCTGGAAGGGAGTGCTGCGAGCATGTTTAGATTAGATTAGTCGTAAATCTAAACTGTGGTGAGTGTTGTTGTTTAGAATAGACCTGTGATGTAATCACTGAGTGTTTAGCTTAGAGGTAGTAAACCACAGCATCTATAGATTAGGATCTGTAGCAAATGGTTTATTACGGGTACTATTGTAAAATGTGTAGATTAGAAACAATCCAGATGTCTTGGAGAAACACACCTTCCCCCTTCTCTTTTGATGCTCTGACCCTTTAAAAGTGTACTCAAACGGGACACAGGTCACTCTCTCCATCCCACAGACAACGCAGACACTATGTGTGATGATTGAGTCTTCTCTGCGCAGAGAACAAATACTTTAAGGACAAACTTCTTTCCTCAATAGTTCTTGTTTCAGTATTCAGTATTATAGGACTCACTCGGTACTATTGAATAGTTTTTCCCACCACAAGTATTCATGTCAGCTAATGCAGCGTGAGCTCATGACATGTTGACGGTGATGATGATGATGATGATGTGTGTGATTTTGTGTTTCTTTTACCCGAAGAGGAACCAGTCGTAAGCGATGGTCAGGTACAGGATCTCGGCTGGCTCCAGGCTGGCGTGCACGGCGCCGTCCTGAGAAAGAACACACGAGGAGAATGAGTCACAACAGCCCGCGTTAAATGACACGGCGTGGGCCGATCGGCCACGGGATGTCACGCAGCCACGGACATTTCTATTCCGTCTGAAAAGCTGTGTGTGTCAGGAGCTTCCAGCACGGAGAGAAAGATTACATATTCATAACATACGGCTTCTATTTTTAATAAAGGCGATGAACACGGAGGCTAATCCAAACACGTGTTTGAAGCAGTAAATTGGATGTATGTGGAGGAGTCTCAAGTCACTAATGAATATGGGGGGGGAAGAAGTTTGAACTTACTGCCCACAGGGAGAGCCTGAGGAGAGACACAAACAGAGGCGTGCGGTCCCAGCCTGATATGCAGTGCACCAGGAGGCCACTCTCATCTAAAACAACACACAACATCACCATCGAGGTCAACAGCAACTCTGGTTAGAATAAGGCCCACGGTCAGTAAATCATTGTTCAAATAAACATTTGGAATAGTGCAGCTTTAACATTCTGAACCCCAAAACATTCTTTAAAAAACGATCATAAAAAATACAGCGTTTATAATAGCCAGAAGTTGTAAAAACAGACATTATGGTGGAGTTCTTAACTTTCTGACGGTCCGTCAGGAGAAGCAACCAAATCAAAACCAAAGCTTAAAGTTGAAGACTTTATATTTCATCAAAATTCTCAAAAATCAAAAGGATGATTTTGTGGGGGAAGTGTACCTTTTACATTTCATTGTCAATGAAAGAAAACAATCAGATGAATTAGTCATCAGCTGCAGAGCTCTCCTATATTCTAACTTTAACACCTAACAATCCTTAACTAACATTATCTGCTGCTACTCTCACAAACAACCTACCATCACTGTTGATGATGTGCAGCAGCAGCTTCAGATAGTTCTGGGTCTGCTCCACCAGGTCCCACGACTGAGACACACACACACACAAGAGTAAATACACTGTTGGTACAACAGAGAAATGAAATGACAGCACCAATCATCTTCCACCACATGTGTCTGTCAGTATCATACAGTGTATCCTGCACCAGCTTGTTCTAGCTGTTTGTTTAACCAAATTAAAAATCTCTCCAGGTTTACGCCATCATGGAGACGCCATCATTCCTCCAAAAGTCAGCCTTCCATATGGTCTTTTTTGGATTCTAAAATGAAGTTATGTGGGTTTGAACACACGTTTGGCAGCACAGCATGAGTCAGTGAGGTTTAAACCGCACTCTAACTATTACTGCATGTGTGCAAGTGCTCATCTGAATCGCGGCCGAAGCACTTTGCCGGGTCGAACAACAGATGGCACTGACACACCACAAACATGACAGGGAGAGAGTCCCGGCTGCTGAGAAGAGCAGAGCCAGGCATGAGGTGAGAAGAGAAGCGGTAACCTGGTATCGAGTCCAGTCGATGTTCAAGTTTTGAGTAAAGCACATGGGGATTGTCAAAGGAGCGTCCACGTAGTCCTGTCGGAGGAGACACAGTGACGTCAGAATGATACAACAGAGCCGACCGACTGTTTAATGGCGGACTGAACAGTCTCCCTACCTGATTCCAGTTGAACACCAGACCCTCTGCTGTGTAGTCTCTGTCTTTGTAGTCCTTAAAAAACTCACACCCTAAAAAAGGGAAAGAAAAAAACAGATTCACACACTTTTTGTTTTTTAAGCTGAAGCCACAGAATGTGACCCTTATCTTCAAAACTAAAGTCAAAGCTACAGGCAAACTACGTGAACAAATTATAAAAGTCACGGGTCGGATCGTAACACAGGTTTCAGTCAAAGATCTCGGATCAGCACACATTGAAAAAAAGGGGAGCAAACAGAACTTTTTGAGATCCACGATCATGCTGTTTTGTCGCAGATACCAACAGCTGATCATATTAGTAGATACAGATTGTTTGGTTTTGTTACAGCAGCTGGTCTACAAGGCTCCACACTATTTGTTTTTCTCCACCATCCCCAAAATCCTTTCAACCGCTCTGAAGTCAGAGTAAACATCAAGAATTCTAAATGTTGTCCTCTTACTTTGTTATAGTCATTTATAGCAGGGTTTATTTTTCACAATTCAAAGGACTCAAATGAAAGGAAATAACGGATTATATATTTGTATTGATATAACAAATCTTGTCTTTAGCAGTTTTAATGATGTATCATAAGCTGCTTAGAGCGAGTGCTAAACAGCTCATAATTCATCTCTAATATCGGTTTATATTGCTGTGTAAACAACTTTACAAAAACAGTAAAAACAACAGAATGAACCAACGTTTAGCTGCTGTTTCAGGAAAGCTCGTCGTTGTCTACATATCCACAGTGAGCCAATATCTGCCCATAAACCGTGTCGCTTCTATTTATGGGCCCAGCTCCAGTGGAGTGACTGAGAAGAGGTCACAGAGGGAGTGTACCTGGGTAAGGCACAGAGAGCAAGGTGAAGTCTGCATAGCGTTGGACCTTGTCCGCCTTCTCAGACGATGTCACGCTGCAGAGAAAGACGCAAAGAGATGGGTGAGATACACTGGGAGCATTCAGGGGATATTCAGCATTTTAATACACAACACTTTTACATAACAGAGGGCCATCTTATTGGCCTAAACCGCTTATTTCAGCTAAAGCAGGATCTACAGTTGTGTGAAAAAGTGTTTGCCCCCTTCCTGATTTCTTATTTTTTTGCATGTTTGTCA